ATTCTTCAAATTGCTTTGTAATTTTCTTTCTACGTTTTTTTTTGCTCTTTCTTCAAATTTTTTCTATCGTATATTTTAATGCAAATATTGCGGTCGAGTACTTGAAAATCTGCTCGAGTTTTCTTTCGGAGATTATTCGATAAACGATTCGATTAATCGACGAAAAATCATAATCTGTAAATGGAAAGTCAAATCTGAGAGTACTTTGAAATGAAAACAATTTATTAGTATTTATTATATGTTTGTCATTTAATCGCTGAATCTCTCGTCTGAGTAACTTTGCAGGTAGCAAAAATAGTCATCTTAATGTAATTTGATGTCAAAATTATTATTTTTACTACCTGGATTATTGATATAAATAATTTTGCCGCGTTAACAATTATTGTCTAAAAATCGACCGTTCGATGGGGATCCACAATCATTGCTACAACGTCGCGAAACATCAGATGTTATTTTTACTACCTGGATTATTGATATAAATAATTTTGCGTTAACAATTATTGTCTAAAAATCGACCGTTCGATGGGGATCCACAATCATTGCTACAACGTCGCGAAACATCAGATGATTTATCGAGACTTGTCAACTAGCAAAAGAATACTGGTCCTGCTCTCTACGTCTCTCAATTAATTGATAATTAAATATATCTCGATTTGTTTCTCTTCTTAAGCTTTCTGCACATAGAGAGAACCGTAATACTTCCTGCGATGATTCATTCTCCATTTTGCCATTCGATGTCTCGATAGCGTGTCATATCTTTTTGACAGTCTCTCATTGTCACATTTTTTTGTTTCTTTCTTCATTCGTCGCGTCCGATCCCATCCTCTTTACATTACCATGGTTTTAACGTTTGTTATAGACTGGGTTGAACGTGTAATGTTTAAGTACTTAGTCCTAAAGCGAAATGTCGTGTGTGTTAGGCGTACTGTAATCCGTATCGTGATACATATATGTCGAAGTCGTAGTCATAGCATAACTTAGTTGAGGATAAGCCGAAGGAGGAGATTGAAAGAGTAAATCAGCGAAGCGATTGCCGGCAGGTGTGACCGGTTCGCGACGGGCTTGCGGGATACACATTATATAGTTTTAAGTACTTAACGGTGAGAAAAAAAAGAAAAGAACGGAGAGAAGTATCGCTAGCGAAATAGTATATGCTCGATAGTCCGATGTGGAAAGTGTGACGTGGGCCTTATATCATGGATTACCTCAATTGTAAGCAGCTTAAAAAAAAAAAAAACAAATTAACATAATTATTTTTATAGCAAGTAACAAGCATAATATATACTTTTCTTATGACAATTACGCGCCAAAACGCATGTGTGTAAGATTCTAATGTATTACATCCTAATGTATTACATATGTTACATGATGTACATAAATACAAATGTTTGAGCAACAAAAATTAAATTATTATACACGTTTTCTAGATGCATTTCACCACGTGTTATATTATATGGTTTTATGCACTAAAGATAGGTAGAGAGAAAGAGAGAGAAAGAGAGAGAGAGAGAGAGAGAGAGCATGGATTACCTCAATTGTAAGCAGCTTAAAAAAAAAAAAAGAAAGAAAGAAACGCAGTTTTTTTCATGCACTTGAAACCGATGTCGAAACCGATCTCGAGGCAAGAGAAATGTATCGTGTGATTCGTACTAGATACTAAAAATAAAGGAGCCATTCTACCTTCCGATAGTAGTTCGCTGTTGCACGACATACTCCCTACTGCGTTATCATGCCAATCGAGACCGGAAATCAGGGATCTCGTTCTCTCGTTCTTCGCACTCGGCAAATTTTTCTACCGTTCATTACACGTCCATTTCGGTACTTTATTAGGACGAAGAGGGAGAAAGAAATGAAGAAATTCTTGGCGCTATATATTTCTACTTATCGAGTAAAAGAGTTTATTAAAATAGAGTCGACATGAAGAATTAACCGAAAAATATGTGTTCTAATAAGCTCTTTAAAGTTTTGGTTCGCGAAAGTCTTTTAGATAATATTACAACTAATTAAGGGGTTGAAGTTCTTACATTATGTTCGAACCTAATTTGAATAAATTCAATTTAACGACCAGAGAGCAGTTAATTTCTGAGTTATTGAAACGGTTCATCGAGTGCAAAGTATTAAAATGCCGCTTGATAGAAGAGACGTTTTTAAAAGCTTGTAATGTGCTTAAGCAAAAAATGACTGTTTATAATCATTCAGAGCAATATAAGAAAAGAAAAAAAGTGCTCATCCATTAAATAAAACTTCTCGTAGCTTTATACATTGGACTTTTGTCATTTTTGTCTAGTTTTCCGAATGTGAAACATTCTCGAACTATATGTATTTCTGTGTTTCAAAAATGTTTTTTTTTAAAGATAAAAATAAATCTTAATCACTCATCATAAAATGCTTTATATTAAAAAGAAACAAATAGTGAAATGATAAATAAAAGATTTCGTATATATTTTAGAAGCTGGATTCATTAATTCTCTTTTGAAGAATTAATGAATTATTTTATCGTCCGATAATCAAATTTGATTATCTTTTGAAGCATTAGTACGCAAACTAGAACTCGGTTTTATCTTTATCCGTGATTTTTTCTAAAAGTGACTAATATAGCAAGCAAAACACGTTTAATTAAGTTCCCTAAAAAGTTTAGAGAGTTGTATATGATCGTGCTAATTACTTGCTAATTATAGTCCAAGTATCAACTGAGAGCATACCCGTGTTATTTTAAAAACAAAATGTAGATTAGTACTCTACTTACTTTCGGCTCCCTGTATTATATTCTTCGTCAAACGATACGTTCTGCGACAGTGAACTAGCAACATATCTTTGCATACATGTATATACTCGTATATAAATATATAAATATATATACATATAGTAAGTGTTAAGTCAATGCACAATTATTAGGCACATGAAAAACGAGCGCCGATGGATGCAATCAATTTTCCGTATACGAACTGTCGTAAGCTTGTCAAGAAATGCAGAGAAGGCGATTTGGAGCAGGATCGATTCGCGCGGATTCGATTTTTAATCGTGATTTAATAGCTTCTGATCCGCATCTGTGTTGCTTCAAAAGTGCGAACAGCGAGCGCAATTTGAGACAAACGTATTGTTTAACAGGAGAGGAGATAGATAAAGATATTTTATTCTTCTGAAATATCCGAATCGCGTTTTTTGTGTATATCCTCCCGAGACCTGGCACTGTATTCTCTTAGTGCGCGTCGCACGCATATCTGTATCGCTTCAATATATATATAATTATATATCATTCACATAACTCTCGTATGCATATTCTACAAATTTTAATATGTCAATTGCAAACGTTTATTGCTGTCTGTTTATCGTTGCCGAAAAAACAGTGGTTGTTTCATATAATGCAAATATTTTTATAATAAATCGCGAAAATGAATGAGAATAACTTGTTTGTTAACCATAAAAATGTGATATACGCGATGCGCTGAGTCTCGGGAAGATACTCAATCATCGAATTCGCTTTATGACTGGATACACAAATCATTTGGCTAAAGATTTTTTTTTTTTTTTGTTATTTAATTATGAAAATGTGCGTGCGATAACATTACTATACCGAAGGTAACTTGGACACAATATATCGAAAAAACAGATTGTATATCCCTACAATAAAGACCTAAGCGTTTTATCTGTACATGATATGTATTCTGTCAATAGCTTTTTTTTTATGTATACGATTAGTATGTAAATACCTCGTATATTCAAGATCATATAAAAGGACGCCAAGACAAATAGCGAATGTAACGAGCAACAAAATTTAATTATAAGATATAAAAGTTGCTAAGAATTAATTAATAAAAAATGATTTTAATCAGAGAAAGAAATAAACATGATAGCTTTTTCATCATTAAATTTTCCATTCTGAGAAGCGTCAGAAAGCGTATGGAAAACTTAGCGCTTCTGATAAAAAAGGTATCATATTTATTTTTTCCTCTGATTAAAATTATTTCTTACAATGACATGCTGAATATCTTACGAATATATTACGTGTGATTTCCGATTTCAGCACTAAGTGATAGAAATTAGTGTAAAAAAGAAATGTTTTCCAATTAGTTAATGTTCTTTGAAATGCCAAACAAACTTTTTTTTTTTTTTCATCATTCTGAAATGCATCAGGCAAATTTTACATTTTGCTTTAGAAAGTAAACTTTTATGCAATTTATACTAAATCATACGGTTTAATTTTTTTAATATTTCTTTTTTCTATATATTTCTCTTTTAATAAATTTAAAAAAAAAATAATAAAAGAATATATAAAATAATTTTTAATTAGCTACAAAAATAATTTATAATAAGTGGTAAAACAAGAATTAATTATATACATATTAAACAATGATAATGTTATAATCTTACAAAAATATCATATATATTACACGCATTTTACATGCGGATAATAAATTGCATTATGCTTCTACGTACTATTGGCATAGGTATATATTGCTGCATCATTTTATAAATTTACGTTATCATTCTTGAACTGCATAATTCCAATTCATTTTCGGTTATAGAGACGTATGTATACATAATTCAACTTATATACTTATGATAAACAGTTACATAACGATTACATTTCAAATATATAAAATGTGCATTGTCAATAGCTGACTTCCTGAAACTGACCTTTAACATTTATGTCTAAAAGCCCGTTTCCCACGATGCGATTTTTCGTGTTGGATAGGATGCATGATTTGCTGCTTGCTGCCCTGCGCTTTACATTACATAAAGCTAAGCTGGGCGCGCTGCAGGTTTTCGCTTCACACGGAGCGAGGCGCAAAGCTAGCTTAGCGGATGAAACGGATGATAATTTGTGCGCTGCTCCTAAAAAAAAATTTGGAAAAATGACGCAGGAAAAGTTTAGGAGCACTTTTTCGTTTGCTAATTTTAGAAGTGGAAAGAAACCGCCATGAAAAGACGACAAAGAAGACTTTGGATGAAAAAATGGCACACAATGATAACCAAAAAAAAGACAACAAGAATCAGCGCTACTCGCAGCAAGCAACTTTTCTCGCTGCGTAGCCTGCACGGTGGCTGGCAGGGCTCCTCGCAAGTAAACTTGCACGAAAAATCGCATCGTGGGAAACTAGCTTAATAATAAATAGATAAACAAAGTTTATCTATTGTTTAAGGGTCCTGGGTTCTCGCCGCGGCCATATCGGAATCGTAATGTTAGAGGCGAGAATGACACGCTGAAAATTTTTGCGTATCATTTTTAAATAAAAAGATGTTTTGATAACAATACTACAACAATTCAAAACACTACAGAAAGCTTTAGCACACTTGTAAAATTGTCCGAAAACTATGCTTTTCCCTTGACAGTTAATAAACAGCCGTAAAATGAGTGTGATACAAAGCATATATGTTTTTAGCATAGTTTTCTCATAAATATGAAGAAAAAGAATTTAATAAACTTGTTGAAGAATATATTACATTTATTTATTTTTTTTTCTCGGAAACACTTGTTAAGATGACATGTTGATTACATTAGTGTAACCCAGAAGTTCCGTGACAGTATTGGCAAGTTTGAAAGAGACGTTCTTCATCAAAAGTCGACTTTTAATCCCAGCGTTCTGCAGCGCTAAGTGATATAGATCAGCATAAAACTGCCAGAAAAAACATCTTTCAGTCAGTTGTATCTTATCGTTTTTTTTTTTTTTTTTTTTTAAATGCATTGCCTTTTCTTCGATCGATCCGAGATACGTCAAAGAAAAATTTTGTATTGATACAAATATTAATCTTTCGTAAAGTTTAGATGCATAGTAAAATAGATAATTCAATTTCTATAAGATTATAATATTTATAAGATTATATCTTTCTATATAAAAATATAATATAGTATTTTTTAATGGCACGATTTATCTTTAAAATAATTAAAGATCAGATGATTGATATAGTACGTAGTGTGTGCTCTCATATTTTTTAAAATTAAATGTATTTACCTTTGCATTTTCACCATCCAGAGGTACATCGGAAAATTCTGAACTCACTTCGGTACAAGATACTGTCATTGTTCGCAAGGGAGTTACCAAAAGAGTCAAGTTTGTTCGCTGTAGGAAAGGAAAAATAAAATATTCTGTATATCTGTCTGTGTGTGTGTGTGTGTGTGTGTGATGGAATCTACGATCATTCTTTATCCTTCTGTTTTCATTATGTATCCTGCTGCTCGAACGGCAGCAATAGTTATAACAACTTTTCGATAAACAAAACACGCTACCTCTTTCGCGACGCATCCGTGATGTTCTTTGAATTGTATCACAATTTCCCTGGAATTTCGAGTAGCGTTCCAGCGTGACCAAGAGAATGTATACGTCGTGCAAAGCAGAGAGATACATTCTCGCAAGTGCTTCTCCGTTACTGGATGCTTTACCGAAAGAGCTTTTACATAACTGAAGGCATCTCGCTCTGGAAACAAATCGCATCCGGCGTCACGCATCTTCTACGAGAGAAAAATTTTGCGTTAATAAAAAGAACCAGGTAAAGAGAAAGAGAGAGAGAGAGATAGAGAGATTACCTCAATCAAAAGATACAGTTTCATATATTCTCCAATCATTTCTTTGAGCGCCGTTGACATACCGCCAGCCAGCGAATTTAGACAGACCAAGTCTTCCTACGAAAACTGAATGACATTATCAAATTCATCGCAATATAATTCGCATTTTATTTTATTTCATGTTTTTATATTAGAAGGCATTAACACATTTTGTAGTGCCGTTTATATCGATCATTCCGTATATTTCTTTTTTCTTTTGAAAATTTGTATCTAAAATTATTTTCTTACATATGAAAATTTTATTTGATCAAACTAAATGTGATCCACAAAATTGAAGAAATACCCTGACGATAAATTCTGCTTGAATGATGGCGGCGGATATATTGAGTACAACTCCGCCTCGCGCGTTTCTGCCCATCTCAGGCTTAAGTTCCCAACTTTGAAAGGGGATGTTGACGAACTTGAGAGCAGCGAGGCCATGGACGCCCAGTCTGCCGGTTCTAAACGTGATAGTTTGCTTCTCCTCGTTGTACTTGATATCGTGCACATCCTGCGTGGACCATAAGTTTTTCTCAGGTATCCAGTGTGCCACCAACGGCGGTTCAAACCAAATAATAGAACTGGGAAGTCTACAAAAATAGAATATACACACGGTTAATATAATATATGATCAAATGCAACCACATCTGAAGATGAGAAAAAATTTGGATGCGAAAACTTTAATCGTGATTTTCTCAAGAAAATTTTATTCAAATTAGTTCGTATAATTTTTTTTCTGAAAAGGTGATCTCTGTCTACAATTGAGAATTTTTCATTATGTCTAACCATTATTGCAAACTTTCAAGTAATTTTTTTTAAGTAGCCCATCTATACCAAAATTTTGCTTATTGTATTATACTCCTAAATTCTTGTTTGTAATAAGATTATGAGAGATCTATTAGCTTATGAAAGAGATACTCTCTTGAGAGAGGATAATAAATTTTGTAAAAACTGTGTTTTATAGAACGTACTTTAAAGTTACTAGAACCAATGCCTCCATCGCAGTCTCCAAAGCTTTCATCTCTGCTTCGATCACTTCCGGCGTTCTTTCAGAATCGGGTGCCGGCGGTGGTGCCTTGTACGGTTTACAGAATGGTACGAATTTCAATTTTTTGGGAATTTGTACTGCAAGGAAAGTAAGAGATTTAATTTAAATGTGGAAAGATATATAATAACTCTTTAAAATTAATTAAAATAATTTTTAGTTACAGGTGGTAAGCATCATGTCTTTGCTCATGTCTTTGGGTTGCGGCGGCTGATAAACTAAATCGATGTGTAATACACCGCCGAGTATCCTGTATTTTCGCAAATTTATCTCTGTCTTTTCGCATCGCGTAAATAGTAATTTTCTAATCTCTTTTCGCGCTTCGTCTGTAAAGGAGAGAAACAATGATACATTTCTCTCGACAATTATTCTCTCTTCGCCATATTACAGTAACGACTTATATTTTTCACGGAATGTATAATAAGAATCCCGTAGTATTACATAAATTAGAACAAATTGAAAAAAATCGATCTCTATGAGTTGCTTTATATATATAATTAAACATGTTGCTTTTAAAATAAAGAAATATTTGTGTAATTAAATTTAAAAAATTTTGCGACGTCAAAATATGTGCATATTAATCATAGATCGGGAATTAGAGAATCGTATACCCTCTCTTTGTAAAATGATCTCGTCCGGTGTAGGTAGATACGACAGCTGTTCTGTTTCCGGTTCCGGTTCCGGACGTTTCGCACCCGGGACGCCCGGTTTCTTTTGCTTCCCTTTCCTGTCGAGTTTCGTGGGCACCTGGACCGGCGGGTTCTCTATCTTCTCGAGTATAGCTTTCTTTTCCTGCAGTCGCAAGTTACGACCCTCGACCTGATCCTCGCGTATCTTTACTTTCGCGTCATACTCGTTTTGGCAGTAAGTAAGGAAATCTGAAATATACATGCGTAAGAAGAGAATCCAAGTCACAGGAATGAAAGTGTCTCTATAGTATTTATATAATAAATAGATAAATAGTATATATATAGTCGACAATATTTGCAATCTATATATACCTATAGCGTACATGTTTTCGTATTCGTCTGGCAATTTTGGCATGACATACGAGATCGCGTAATCGGAGTAATAATCGTGATTTAGCCACAACGCCCGAATCGCCATGCAGTAGCAATCGATGTCGAGAGGCATTTTAATGGTCAATTCCAATTCCTCGAAATGTACTTCGATCGGTTTTCTGCCGAAAAGCATAAGCGATCGTTTTTAGAACTAAATTAATATACGTCTATACATATGAAAATAGATAAATAAATAAATATCCGCGATCATCTCGACACGTACCGATCCTTATCGGTGACCTGCTTAAGTCCGATGGGCAATTTTATCAAAGCCCAAACGCAGTAAATAATCTGATCGGAGACGCTGATGTATCTCGCCGTTTTTATACCTTCGCGGATCATATTCCTCTCTATTTCACGCAGAAGAGAGTAACATGCCGCGTCCGTCCATTCTCGAAGCTTGTCTCGGAATCGTTGCCTAATCTGCGTTAAATGCAGAATGATACGAATGAACTTTGAATAATCATTTTATGTAAAGTAAAAATCATGTACGCGACAGAATCGATTACTCACCGTCTCGCATTCGGTTATGTAATCGAGCGATCTCGTCACAGAGAATCGTATTATCTCGTCGAGTCTCACTAATAGCTGTAAAAAAGATTTTACTCTCATATAACTGATGGAAGGAATGTTACATCCACAAATTAATAATAGGGAGCCGAAATGTTTACATTTTGACAAATTAAACAATAATATTAATATTTAATTACATTATTGATTTGGCTCAATTGTATGAAGATTCACATACGTAGATAATAATATTGTATTTCACAACGAAACTGCTCATGTTAACTTTCTCATCTTCCATGGACCATAAAAATATATAAGTATTCATCTCGGATAAGCTCCCGGGATCTGGCAATCCGTCGCACGTTATATATCTAAACCACTGTAAACAATTATTTCATTATAATGACATTCTATCACGTGATGTTACACGCCATATATACAAAAGTCTATTTATATGACACATAATCCAAATTTAATTTTATATTACACAATTCAATAATTCAAAAATAACTTTTTTTATAATTTCAATCGCAAATTTCTCAATATTGTAACGTGATACAGCAATTTGGAAGCAAGAATCAGATTGTTAATGTAAAAAACACTGTGAAAAAATGAATTATTTTCTTTTCATTATGTTTTTTTTTTTTTTCTTTTTTGTTAAACCATGTTATTAATATATTCAAAAATTAATATATGCTATAAAAATATCAAATTAATATCGTATAAGTGTGTGAAAAACACATATACGTACGTACTCGGAGATTTCCAGCTAATTAAGAATCGGCCATTGATTATAATTGTTTTTTATTAAATATGCAAAAAAGACAAAATATTTACATTTTCCTCGTCTTCGGCGGCCGCTACGTATTCCGCAAATGCGTCTTTATAATCACGAAGCGCGTCCTGCGTCTTCTCCACTTGAACCTTACGCATTTCTGCCTCCTGTTTCTCGAGCAACGCTTGCCTCTCCATATTATACTTCTCCAATCTTTTTTGTTAAACCATGTTATTAATATATTCAAAAATTAATATATGCTATAAAAATATCAAATTAATATCGTATAAGTGTGTGAAAAACACATATACGTACGTACTCGGAGATTTCCAGCTAATTAAGAATCGGCCATTGATTATAATTGTTTTTTATTAAATATGCAAAAAAGACAAAATATTTACATTTTCCTCGTCTTCGGCGGCCGCTACGTATTCCGCAAATGCGTCTTTATAATCACGAAGCGCGTCCTGCGTCTTCTCCACTTGAACCTTACGCATTTCTGCCTCCTGTTCCTCGAGCAACGCTTGCCTCTCCATATTATACTTCTCCAAACGAATCTCCTCGTACATGTCTTTAATCATCTGCGTTCTTTTCAAGATACTTTGCGTTATATACTAATAATAAATAATCCTAAATCCTAAAAAGCTCAAAGTTTAATATGGACAAATATTGTTTTAATTAACAACAAATTGTTGGTATTATCGATTAATCAACCTTAGATAATAGTCTGAGAATTTATTGAGAAATTGATTGATTCACATAATGTCGCGAAACAATATAAAGTAATAATTACTATTACTTTGTAAAAATTATTAATTCTTTAGACTAATTTGAGTTGCGTTGTGATTTAAATTAGAAAAAGTAAGCATTGATTATACACGCGCTTGCAGTATTTTATTATGTGCGTTGGATAATCTAATCTTGTTTAAGTTTTTTTGTGTATCATTGTATTTTTTACCTAATTTCCTCGGCTTCAGCAGCCGCGCTTGCCGCCTGTTCTTTTTCCAACGCTGTGTGTGCTTTCTTCGTCATTATTTCAATTTCCAGAAACTTTGACTAAATTGATATCGTATGATGTAATATATCTTTTACTTTAATAAAATCGTTACATGAAATGTGCAATAATCGATACCTGCAAGAAACATGATAGCTTATTTGCGATATTTCGCAACATCTTTATGATTTTATTCGATATTTTGATGCTACTCAAAATTGTAGACATTAATTAATACAGCATTAATTTAGGAATAAAGAAGACATTCGCGTTGTGATAGTCGAATTATACAATGCTTAGTTATATAGCAGAATTACCTGTATCACATTCCATTCACGTAGCTGAAACAAAAATTTATTCAGAAGCGATATGTATAGTATAATATTTTTTATATCTATAAATTATATGTATTTTGATACACTTTTAAATAGCTTCGAGATTATAATTTTAGCTTTTATTTGACATATGACACGCACAGAAATTCTTTATATTAAAAAAATATATTTTTTAATATGGCAGTATTTTACGTATGTATTACATTAAGGTATTTATACAGATCATTGTATAATTTATCAGTTAATTATTCTTTCGCATGCAATTGTTTAAATTCAAAATCGGATTGGTCAAGCAAGTCAAGTGCAATGTCAAGTGCATTAATTAAATAAAGACAAGGTGTCAAAAAACTCGTTTATAATGCAAATATCGCTTTTTTTGGAAAGCGTGTAAAAAATACATCGAGAAAATCTGTCAAGCGAACAAAGAATATCTGTCTCATTAAAAAAAATGTTGAAATAATAAATCGTCCTTCTGTATTAAAAACGTGATATAATTGATTTCGACTAAATCTAGCTTTTTAATAAATAAATGCAATAAATATATAACATACTAGTGACGAGAAAGCCGATGGTTTTCTCGATAATTGCCATCGTGTAAGGCTTTCATCTTCCTCGTATTTGTCATAAGTTTCAGAATCTGATATAGAATATGAAAGATCTTTGTTTTTGCAAAAAGCAATATAGAGTGTCTTTTAGCCTACTTTCTTACCTTTAATTATATTTCTGCTCTCGATAGTCTTTCTCATGATTTCAGCTTCACTCTGAATAGGATATCTGAAATAAATAGAAAATTCTTAATAAAAAAAAGGAATAAAAATCTCTTATGTTAATACAGGATCAAAGTCTTTTTCAACATGATAAAATTTATATGGATAATTAACAGTTATCGTTTTTTAGCGCAAACAATCATTATATAATTTGGCTTCATACTTTATATCGGGAGTATCTTCGTCAGGATCCAAACGAATCGGGCTAGAAGCAATGTCGCGATCTTGTGCCTTATACACGATTTCTTTGTCAGATTCCATGTTAATAGTGTACATCCGCATTATATAAGCGTTCTGCTCTTTATTGCGTTCAATTATCGAGTATCGAGAAAGATATTTTCACGGAAAGACTGCATCATTGAAAATGGAATGTACAATAATGCTAAATATAGGGCATATAATGATAAATATGCCGCATTAAGAAAAGCGAGAAAATTGTGGCGTATCAAGAAATGATGCAAGTCATTCTATAAATTTTAATTGAATTTTTCGTCGATAATTCATTATAGTTTCAGCAGCAAGGTTAAGCAGAAACATGTCAGATATCGCATTACATATCATACATTATGCACACATATACATATTGATATAATAAAACAAAACACTAAAATCATTTAGGCATCAAAAATTATCACCAAATGGTAAAAAAAGTATATACATGTACAGTGCAACTCATCATTACGAGTAGGCTTCCATGCATACATTTGTATACATTTTTGATAACTGATTTGCGTAGGAATACTTTCTTATCTTGTGTATATGTGTGTGTGATAATATATATATAAAAGAAATTTATTGCTAAAAAATTATTATTAAAAATAATAGCTTATTGAAATAAGTTTATATTTTTTGGCATGATCTTTTTCCGTATTTATCTATGAATTTACACGATTAATTTTATTTTGAAATGCTAAAGAATACACAAAATATGTATACTTATATTTGTATTTCATCAAAATGTGCAAAAATAGGAGTGAATGCCGATATGTATGATTTCGCATTCTGAAATTTGGTGTTTGTAATACATATATGATATTATGCCGGCCATAAAAAAATATTTCTGGAAGATTATAATGTGCGGCAAAACAATGATCGATATTTAAATTAAACGATTAAAATTAAATTAACTAATTAATCGCCAGATCACAGATTAATGTCGCTGACAAATTAATGAGCAATGTAGATGAACGTTATAAATATAAGATATACTGTCCTCGTCGAGTTCTACCAGACTTATTTGTGATTTTATCCAGATACGGTTATATGATAACAACAGAAAATTTATACGTTTCCTATAATCTATTTGACTGAATACGCGCACTATTTTATTTTTTGTGTTTTTAAATATATTGTTACAATTGTGAGAGATGGCCAAAGAAACGATCGAATCGACTTTATCAATACCAGCATTTTATTCTGGAAGAAGTATATTCATTACAGGCGCAACAGGATATTTGGGAAAAGTGTTGATAGAAAAGTTGTTGAGATCGTGCCCCGATACAAAAGAAATATTCTTATTAATGCGCCCAAAGACCAATATGTGCATTGAAGAAAGACTCCAGCAGATGCTGACAAGCTCGGCAAGTAATATAAGAGAAAAATATATTAAATAATTAATATTATATACAAGGTGATCCAGGTAACAAATTAAGGAACTTTAGAACAATTTGACCCCTATATAGCATATTTTAAATATATTTTTTATGTGTTCAAAGAAGAACTTTATAACAATGATAAAATTATGATGCTTTTCACCCCTTTTTATGAAACGACTTTATAATTTTAAATAGAATTCTTAGAAGAATTTATATTTTTAAATTCTACGAAAACAGAAACTTTTACGTAAAACATAGAGTTATTAACTTGTACCACCAAGTGAGCCACTTTGTATATTATCTTAGTATACAATTAATATTTTATTTATTTATTTTGATGTGTATAAATATGTGCTCATATATACAGTTATGCCAAAATCATGCCATTCAAAAAAATTATGTCATTTTATGCATATTGCATCCTACAGTTGTTTGACAGATTACGAAGCGAACAACCTCATTGTTTCGAAAAACTGATTCCATTGAAGGGTGATATCGAAGTCGAGGAATTGGGTTTGTCATCTGCTGACAGAAACATGTTGATTGAAAAAGTATCTATAATATTTCACGTAGCGGCGAACGTAAGATTCGACAATACATTGAAGAAAACTGTGCTCCTAAACATTCGGTCGACAAGAGACATCTGCGTTTTGGGCAAAAGTTTAAAAAATTTGGTGGTAAGTAATCGCGAGATTTCATCAAAATGGTGTGTTTTTCGTCTAAAAATTCTGCGTGACGGTTTTAATTACAATTAAAAATAATTATTGGCAAACACTATCGCACTAATTTAATTTCATTCGTTTAAGGTTTTGGTGCATGTCAGCTCGACTTATACACAAGTTGATAAACCCGTCGTCGACGAAATTGTATATCCAATGGAAATCGATTGGAGAAAAACGATTCAAATTGCCGAAACCGTGAATGATTATGTCTTGGAGGTATTTAAGTCAAAGTAAGCGTTAAACTCCTGCATTGATTTCTTTATTTCATATTTTATGATAAACAAGTTATAAAAATAATATATATATGTACTTTTATTATAATAATTATATATATATATATATATATTGTGATAAAGTTTAAATTCTTTATGATTTACATATTTATAG